AATTTTTTTTTATTTCCTCTTTTAGTAAATTTTGAATATCAAATTGACCACCTTACCCTTATATTTTTTAACTTTATTTACATTCTTTTAATTACACTCAATTACCAACTAATTACCACCTTACCACAACCACCTTCGTCGCCCCTACCACTAGCCCAGACAAACCCAGAGCACCAGCACCACCTTCGTCGCCTCTACCACCAGCCCAGACGAGCCCAGAGCACCAGCACCACCTTCGCCGCCCCTACCACCAGCCCAGACGAGCCCAAAGCACCAGCACCAGCACCACCGCGACAAGACCGTAAATCGTCGCGCAATTCTCCGACCATCCCCTACCCCTTTCCGTCGCCACTGTTGTTGCTAAACTCGTAGGTTTTGGTGTGGTGGATTTCGATTCCAGATTTGGATTTCAGTGGTTTGGTTTGTGGGGTGTTGGGTTTTGGTGGTTGTTTCGGTGGTTTCGTGGGGGTTGCGTAAGTGGGGTTGGGTGTTGGGGGTTCGTGGGGTGGCGGTTTCGATGGTTTGGTTTGTGGGGTGGTGGGTTTTGGTGGTTTCGTGGGGGTTGCGTTGGGTGTTGGGGGTTCGTGGGGTGGCCGTTTCGGTGGTTTGGTTTGTGGGGTGGTGGGTTTTGGTGGTGGTTTCGGTGGTTCGTGGGGTGGTGCGGTGGTTCGTGGGTTGGGTGTTGGTGGTTTGTGGGGTGGTGTGGTGGTGCAGTGGTTTGTGGGGTGGTTGTTCTCCAATGTTTAATTGTGTGTTTTATTTTAATTTGGTTTAATTATCCCTTCTCTCTCCTCTTACTTTTCAATAATCTTGCTTAATAAGTTTTGCCTAGGAGTTCGCAAAACTGTTCTTTGGTGCAAATAATAGCGGGCGGAGGGAGTATAATGAACAAAAAAACTCAGAATTAATGTATCCAAATCAAGAATCACATTTTAAAAAAAATAAAAAAATCAAGCTATTTAAAATTGTAACCAATTATATGATGATACGCCATAAAAATAAAATTGAGAGATTAAACAATAATACGCAAAACAAGTATTCCGTACAAATAATACTACGAATTTATTTAATAGAAACAAGCTAGTAAAACGACAACAAATTAACAAAAAGCTCCATACTAACACAAGTCCAAAACCAAACCAGACCCTCCCTTAAATCTAAAGGAACAAAAGATAGATAGATGCTCAAGTCATTCAACACATAATTTTTACTACTTAATTAATCAGTAAAATTAGGGATAGCAGCTTCAGGAAGAGTGGCCTTAGCAGCAGGAGAGGGCTCAACACCAGGGTGAGGCTCGACCGGCTTACACAGAAGCACCTTAGGCAAATCACCCTTGATTCCCTTCAAATATAATGTGTAGAATATCTTGAATGGGTACACAATTTGTTGCAATTTCACCTGTCCATAGGCTCCCTCGAAGATCCCTGAACCGCCCGTGATTGATAAATATGATTCATCATAGGTTAAGTATGGTCCTTGGATTGAAATGTGACCATAATCTCCAAAGTACATGCTGTATGCTGCTTCATATCTGTCTCCATTCTTTTCTGGCTTGTTTTGGATTAAAATGCATATTCCTGCTGTTATTCCTAGCCTTGTTTCCAAGTCCCCTGTGTATAACTGTTCCATCACAAATTATGAGTACCCTTTTTTGTCGATATTAATTCATTTTAAGAGTCTCTTGTTACTCATACGTAAAGAAAAACATAGTCATCATATCGAATTATTTTTTATTAGTCTTAAACATGTGACTTTTATCAACTTCCCAAGGCTATGTAACAAGGACTAACAACAAACATAAATCTTGAAATGGTAAGATCATTTAATTACGACGAATTAGTATTATTTCATCATGTACAACATCAATCCATACAAATTAAATACAATCAATCAAGTCAAATATATTCAAGATAAAAGTCAAACAGAAGATTGAAGAAATTGCCATCAGAAATTGTTACCACTATCTGTCAATTTTTAGAAATAATTGGAGTAGTTTCACCCTTATTATTGAGAAGTTGCCAAAACAAAATACTTCTTTCATTTTTTTTTTTTTTTTTTTAGAAAGCAAAATACTTCTTTTATTTCTTAATATAAGTAAAATTTTAATTTTTTGTGCTTAGTATAAGTTGTTGGATCACTCTTTTAAAAGTTTCTTCATAGTTAAATACGAGTACATTAATGATTGAAGTGAGTATTAATAACCAGGCATAAAAGTCCAACAAAAAGTAAATGAACTAATGTAAAGTTAAATGTTATGCATTGTCAAAAATTAAACAAAATATGGAGTATATTGGTGAGTTGTTTCCAAAAAAAAGAAAAAAACTATATTGGTGAGAATGGTGACAGTTCTAGAAATCTCAACCAATTAACACAAAAAGTATGATCAATGCTTAAAACAAATAACATCAAGAACAAAATTAATTTCTTTTTAAAAACGGGAAAAAAGAAGTAAAAATTAATACCTTGTTGGTAAAAGGAATCAAGTCACCAAGAGCAAAAACAGGCTTCTTGCTAAGTTTCAGAACAGCAGGACTTTCACGATCTCGCTCATTGATCTCATAAACACTGAATTCATGAACCTTATCATCTGAAAATCACCAACAAAAATCAAATATTAGCAACATTAGTCTAAAATTAATTAAAAAAATCAAGTAAAAATTGAAGTTTATGCATACTTTCTGAACGATCAGAGGAGTTCCTGCAAGTAAAAGATCTGATGGATTGCTGATTTGCAGAGTTAAACTTCAGGGATTTGTTAGTGAGAGAAAATCCAGAAGATTTAAACCCAACTTCACCAAATTTAGCAGGAGAAAATGCAAAAGATTTAGACTTTTGGCAAGTTTTAATAGAAGAAGAAATGGCATTTGATAAAAGAGAAGATGATGCAGCCATTTTTATCAGTAAAGATTAAAACTCTGTTAAAAGTTTGAATTTTTGAGGGAGAGAAACAGAGGATTTGATAATTTTGGTGAAGAAAAAAGAGTGGAATTTGGTAGGTATAAATAGAGGAGAGAGAAAAATATAAAGAATGATCTGGGAAAGTTGCAAAATAGCACAGACCAATATAAACACAGGAAAAAAGTGGGAAGTTCAATCATGGTCAAAGTACCCACTTACTAATATAGTGGTAGACTGGTGGATTTATAAAATGAAAACCTTTATTTTAAGTTTGCAACAAAAAAACATGGTTGAATTCAATTTGTACAACTAGAATTGGTTAAGAGTATCAATTCATTTTTTTTATTATTATTATTATTTTTTTTTTTTTTTTGTTTTGTGGGGGTGTCTTTACACCGGCCAAATGGATTATTCTTAAGACATGCACACTATTGATTCCGGAGCTCGCAAAATGTACAGTGTTTTTTAGGCTAGGTAACTAATTTATAATCCTTCTGTTTTTAAAAAGCTTCATTTGAATTTGCACATTTATCAAGGCATAACTTTGACCATTAATATATTTAATTAGTGATTAGTAAACCTTATGAAGTATGAAAAAATTAATTTATACAAGTAGACATTATAACAAATCTAACAACAAACTATACGATCATATTTATATATTAGTAAAAAAAAAGTAAGTCAAGGATGACATATATATAGTGTAAAATCTCAAGTGTAGCTTTAAAAAAAACGAGGGGAGTATACTCTATCCGTTTCATAATAATCGCTATACTATTACTGGTAAACGTGTCAATGCTCAACTTTGACCATTAATATTTGTAATTATATATTGGTAAAAATTATAATTAAAGTAAGTATATGAATAGTGCAAAAGTCAAACTTATTGTGTAACTTATTTTATTTAAAAATAAAGGTTTTGTTTGAAATTATTTTTTTTCTAATTTTATGATGTGTGAAATTTTCTATTCCCTTAACTAAATGGCCTAATTTGATTAGCACACTTGCCAAAGCTAGAACTTTAGCCAAAATTTTCTTTGATTATCGGTAAATGTTGATTAATTGAGACATTCTAACCACTACCAAATACCAATGTGGCTCTGTTTAATTTTAGGTATAAAATAGTAAAAATTCCAACATTAATAACATTAGGCAAAAACTAACGAATGTCCTGGGGGCGTTGGATAAGATAACTAAAATAGAATTATTGAATTAAAATGAACATTAATTACACCGATCGACGCGTAATTTTGACATGCTTTCCTAAATTAATACTAGTTAAGGAAATATTTTAAATACTTAGCTAACGCCCACGGGGCATTCGTTAGCAAGATCCCTACCTTTTGAAAAGTAGGAGATAACTCTTATGAATAGTGCTTGGACAATTATACCTTCTAAAATGTTTATTTACTTAATTGACCTCATTAATGTTAATATTTGTTTACATATTTTCCCTCATTCATGCTACTAACTACTAAAGTTGTGATGTATGTTTCAAAAAAAAAAAAAAAAAAAAACTAAAGTTGTAATGTAAGGCCAAATCGAAAGAGCTTGTTGAATATTGCTAGCTATGGCGCCTAGTGGTACTAAAAGTCAAAATGAGATACTTATTTTAAAACGAAGGAATTAATTGAGTAAACTTATATTTTCAAAACTAAGATGATGATGAAAAAAAAAAAAAAAAAAAAAAAAAACCTAATTAAAGGAGGTCAATTGAACATACTCTGAAGCCTATGGTGTGTAAGCTATGCTAAATTGTTAATGCATAGACTTAAGTCTTCCAAAAGGTCAACTTATAATTTGCCTCTTCCCAATACCACGGAAAGTCTCAAACTTATAGAGCATTTAAACCTTATAATTTTGCTAAATTAAGTTTAGCAAAATGATCTGTATAGTCCTTATGGCCACAAATAAACACTTAATTCATTTTCTAACTCAATACTCTATATTATTTTAGTCTATGAGATTGACAAAGTTATGAATCAATTAATTCATTAATTAATTCCACTTTTAGCTCTTTATATGTACTTCGTAACCATTAGGATTTAGGGCTCTATATATCATTTTTCCTTAAGCTTACAATATAATGAAAAAATAAATAAACTTGAAGAAACTGATACAATAACTTGCTTATTATGGAGTATGCTTTTTTACAACACTACTTTACTGAGGCTACAAATTATGGGTTATTAGGGCTACAAATCTAGAACGCAAAACAAAACAATAAAGTTCTGCTACATGTAAAAATACAATTTGACGCCTCTGATCATGTTTTTATAGAACACAAGGTCAGCTCAAGTGTGTCCAACACCTAACTAAGGCATCAAGAATAGTATCCCTCCATTCTTTCTATAATGCATTGTCTTATTTTCCCGTTACATGCGTCAATTTATTAAATATACTATCTATCTGAGTTACAACAGCATGGTATTTTTGAGATGCAAGGCAAACAGACAACCATTAGCTCTGCATTTGTTGGGTAATGCACAATGTAGGGAGTTTAAAGAAGACAGAGCAAATGTCTCTTGGTTCGGAGTGGACACTGGCCGGCATTGTGTGACTAGCAACTCATGGCGATATGTCTTTACCAAATAGAGTAGCAATTCCTTTGGCAGGGTCAGTCTGTTTGACAAGGGACTCCCCAACCAAAACCTACAAAGACAAATAATTATCTTTAAAACAGAAAATACAACACATAACAGCAGAGAACACTGTGTGTATATGACATACAAAAGGTTACAAGGAAATTATTCACTAAGCTAAATTGAGTTTGGATTAATTACACAAAGTGATTTGAATTTCAACGATACCTTGGGAAAACTATGTTTTTGTAGCTTTTGAAGAGTTGTGCCCTATGGGTCACAGGTCTTTCCAATGACCCCCCCCCCTCTCTCTCAGAAAAAAGGTTCCAATCAACGGCACTATTAAATTCCTGTTTTTCTACTTGTCTATAATCATCTTAGAGGCAGAATATATAGTTATACTACTGTTATAGATTGGAAGGATCAGAAAACCTCTGTATCGCGTATATGATATAGGCCTAGCAAGAAAGTTTCAGGAAACTATGCTACTTAAACAAAATTATGCACACAATATTTAGGAGCGTAGATGGCAACAACATTTACAGAACTAACCGCTTTCACACCAGCCTCTTGAACATAATTAATATCAGCAGGTGTAAACAAGCCAGACTCTCCAACCACCTGAAATCAAGGAGTTTTGCATAAGAGAATACTGCTGATTCGCCAAAAAGATGGAAAAGGGGAAAATTTAAGACAAGCAGCCACTACTCACTACAAAGCAAACAGGAGAATCAAAACAAACACTTACAATGATATCTCTCTGACTGAGAATCTCTAGACGTCTTGCATCAAGAAGCTTCCTGGTGTTGCCAATGTCAACCTTAAACGTCTCTGGACAGACACAAGTTGTACAACTTGTTTAGAATGATTATTCTTGATCACAGAATATTCTATGCACTTCACTAATAAGACTACAATTAATCAAAAACATATGTTAAAATGATGAGGAAAATATTACCAAGGTCACGATTGTTGATTCCAATAAGTTCAATTCCTTCAATTCCAAGCACACGATCCATTTCCATTTCGTCATGCACCTTAAATGCAAAAGCATACACAAAAGGAATTCTTCATGTATTAAAGCCAAATAACTCATGCAATCTAATTAAAACTTACGACAAAAATATGCCAACCAATCAAAAATCATCTAAACATCTAAAAATAACATGCCTTTTTGTATAAATAACATACTCTAACTTCTCCCTATGATAGTGTTACTCAAACCTGAGGACAACGATTATCTTGGATTTTTTTGGTACATTTTGAAGTGCCAAGGTGCCATGTCATATCACGACATCCAAGCTTTAGAGACAAGTATTTGGTTTATAATGCATAGTGCAACAGGATTTACATGGGAGGAACCAAATAGTTATAACAGCTCATATCAGGCTTACAACAGCTAAAGCTAGAGCAGAATCATGGAAAACAAAGGTGGTAGAGCGAAAAGGAACTTTGCAAACAAACCTCAACAAGAGCAGCCAACCCTAATTTCTTGCATAGATTTAGGAAGTATTTAATATCCAGATCAGGCAGAACTCCAGCGATCAAAAGAACAGCATCTGCTCCTTTGGTGCGAGCATAATATATTTGCCAAGCATCTACTATAAATTCTTTGCATAAAAGAGGGCACTGTAAGGCAAAAGTAAGTTTAATTTGATGAATGACTTCAAATTATGGACATAAGTAGCAGTGGACAATCGTATACCAACCTTTACACCAGCATGGCGTATAGCCTCCAAATTCTCAAAACATCCCTGCTCATAAAGTTATAAGGAAATCAATGACTCAATTATATAGCTAATATAAACAAAATGTAGAGATATAGAAACACAAGAGTTCAACCTGAAAAAACTTTTCATCTGTCAGAACACTGAGGCATGCAGCACCACCTTTCTCATAGGCTTTAGCAACTTCTATCTATCGTAAAAGTTGATAGTTAATAAATTGATTATTGCATGAAAAAACTTTTACATTCATCCACTTCTAATCTGCCCAATGAATAGTGAATATACAAGGAGAGAAAAGGGGTCAATAGTTGGTTTCCGATCTCTGTGTTATCCAATTAAGATATTTAGCTAAACAAAGTCAAAGACAATAATCATCTGCGTATAAGCTTACAGAAGCAGCCCATGTTTACTTTTCGATACCAAAAGGCATCGCAATGTGACCAGTCTCACTGTCATACTTGAAAATTCTTAAATGGTTGAAAACAAGCCTAGTCTTATAATCACAAAGTTAATAAGCATACTGCAGAAAAGAAAATTTCTTGAAATCTGAGGTCAAATTAACAGCTCAGAGAAGAGCACATGAAATGGGTTTTTAGCCAAGGAAAACAACCACTGCATGGCAGAAGATATGAAATGAAGTCAAATCACTGTGCAGAAATTATGCATCCTTACATCAAGGCTTAAAAAACATCTAATAAGACACACCCTCAAACAAAGATGAGGAAGCCCAGGAAAACACAAAGCAACAAGAACGTCTAAAAGCTCGTACGAGATGTATCCTGATCCTTTTTTTTTTGTGTGTGTGTGTTGGGGTGGGGGGGTGAAGGTAATATGAAACAAAATACAAGGGAGAGAAAGAAGCATCCATACCGGATTGAAGTCCTCTCTTAAAATGCCTCTACTAGGTGAAGCCTTTTTAACTTCGGCAATCAAACCAGGGAATCCTGTCCGTTGGTAAGCCGCTCTTACAGCGCCAATAAAATCTCTTGCTGGAGGAGCATCATCAACTGCCTTTTCCAAATCATCAAGAGGTCTTCTTTCCTTGAACTAATAAGAGCACAAGTGTGAGAGACCACTTAAATAATAACAGTATTGACTGGAAGTAGCAGATTAGTATACCTGTGAAACCTCGACATCCTTGTACCATATAATCTCCTCCAAAATGTTACGAGGAGTGTTTGACATATCCTGTATTTGAACCTCAAATGGACCATCATAACCCGAAGGAGGAGCAATTGGTGGCCGTCTTCTAATAGTTATTCCCTGACTAGCAGCCATTTCCTCTTGTAGGATTCTAGCCTCCCACTCTTTGATTTTCAAATCATGCTCTTGAACATCACCAACAGATGAAACTGCCGCAGATACATACCCAGAACCAGACTACAGAGTAAACAAACAAACAAAAAAAAATCAAGCTTTGAAAACCTTAAATGTCCTTACAAACTCTAGTTTTGACATGATTACTCTCCTACTACGTACTAACTGATACAAAACTCAAGGGAAATTCCCCCTTATTACTAAGGGGAATCCCAAAACACTTCCTATATGGCATAAAAAATCACCAAACACCCACAATATGCAAAATAATAAAACCTAGCTATCTCATGATAAAACCTAGCAACTCTCTAGCAAAATAATGAAAAGCAAATATACAAAGGCATGTTGAGGTTCAAAAGAAAACCAAACCAAACATCCTCAATTTAACCGAAATTACTCGCTCTCCGGGCACCCAATCAACTGCAACTGCAGAACAATCCAAAACTCGACAATATTTGCCAGCATTTCCCCTAATTTAGGAAATTCCTCCAATACTTCACGGAGGAAAACCAAATCAATCCTCAATCCAACCTACATTACTCGCACTTCAGGCACCCAATCAACTACAACTGCAGAATGACCCAAAAATCAGCTATTCTTGCAAGACTCCCCTATTTTGGGAAATTCCTTCAACTTCCATAGAGGAAAACCAAACCAATCATCCTCAATCCAGCCTACATTACTCAGCCGCCTAGCATCGAATCAACTACCAACCGCAGAACAATCTAAAACTCAGCTAATCTTGCAAGAGTTTCCCCTATTTTAGCATTTAACTAAATCATTTAATTGACACGATTCTCAAATTAAATTATAACAACAAACCAAATCTAGCAACCATAATAAAATTAATATTGTAACACCAAACTATAATTCTCCTATAACCAATTCATAACTATACACAAGTTACATGAAATGGGATAAGAAAAATGTATGAAATGAAATAAATTAAGGGGAAGAGAGAAAATAAAAATTTAGATACCTTTTGAGCTTGGATATGGAGGGCAGCATTGAATTTGTGATCAGCCATCGAAATTCGAGGAATTGATCTTGAATTAAAGAAATAAGCCGTCAAATTGGAGGGTTTTAGAGATTGAAACGAAACCCTAGAATTTGGTACAAGTGATTGCCTCAATGATACTGAACCACAATCCATCGAATGGAAAATCTGCGTTGATTAGCAACTGAAGATGAACAATTAAGAGATTAATTAAAATAAATTAGAGGTTTGAATTTTGAATTTTGAATTTTGGGGATAATTATGCAAAAATAACAATCTCAAATACTAAAGAATTCGAACCTTGTATCAATATTCAACAAATTTGTTAGTGTCTTTGGGAGAGACTAAATAAAAACAATTGTAATTAAGGTCTTTTTCAGAAATGCAGTAACAATTTAGAATTTATGTATGTTGAGACTTTTTTTTTTTTTTTTCAATTTGTTAGTCCATAATACATTAAGGAAAATTTAAACTTTGGTGTCCCAACGTTTAAGTAAATTCCATTTTGGTGATCCATGGTTTTAATATTCTCATTTTAGTGTCCTGTCATTAGTTAATTGTTCAATATTAGTGCCTAATAGTTAACGGTGTTACATTCTCTGTTAATTAATTTATTTATTTTTATGAAAAATATCATTATTTTTTATTAAACTAATGTAGTAAAGCCACATATTAGCATAAAAACATAATTAGACCATGATATATATATATATATATATATACATGAACCAATAGCAGTGGAACTTCTTCTTTCTCATCATGAAACTAAGAGGCCATGAAACTAAGATTACAGCTAATAAAACAAAAATATATCCTTAGTCATGCATAAATTAATTAAAAACAATTAAAAAGTCAATGTATTGCACTTTCAACATCATTTTTTATAATCCAAAAAATTTCATGACTACATGTCCAAAAAGTAATATAAAAAAAATAAAATAAAAAACCCTATAATACTACTGTTTAGTGAGGAACTTGGCGTAGTGCGATGATGCAACTGTTGTAAGATCTTGATGTGTTCAAGTTCTCGTCTAATTCCCACTGTTGTTTAGCTTGCTCGACTTTTGTTTTTTAGTTTCTCCTCCTTGACAATCTCTTTTATTGTGTCCAACACACTTGCAAATGCTACATCGAACAATGGTGGACCTTTTCATGTTAGGAGTCTCACCTTTTTCTTTGTGCCTCTGAGTAGTTTTAGGTCTCCCAGCTCTCCTAGTCAACTCGAGATGAGTAATTCGTGGTTGATCATCTTTTGGCCACATGTTTAGGTCTGGAATTGGGTGTATGAAACCTTCGTAAGTCCTTAAATAGGCTTCCTTAGAGTAACAAGGATGCACAAAACCAATAATCTCCTTCCTTAAATACCTGATAGCAGATGCAGCATGTTTGCAAGGGGTTCCCACATTTTGCCATACCTGACACATACAAGTCCACTTATTCAAATCCACACAGACGTAAACATGCCCATCTTTGACTTCAAATACTCCATAGCCGGAAGCAATTGGTTTACAAAAATACCCATCACCCCATGCACAATCTACCATCTTCTTTACTCTAGGGCACAGTTGGTCATCCCATTTCAGTGCAAACCTTCTCTTTTTTTCCAATTTCTTCATACATCGTCTTCTAAATCCCTCAGGCATTGTCAAAATAGGTTGGCTTCTCAATTCTCTAATTTTTCCATTAAGAGACTCGACAAAATTGTTAGTCACTTTTGGAACCTATATTTAATAAGAATGGGTTATGTTCATGGAATTTGGATGAAAACGATCAAAATATAGAAATTTAATTATAAAAAAAAAAAAAAAAAAAACTTGAGTTTAATGAATTTGATACCTTGAGTTCTTGATCAAACATATGTCTAGCCCATAATTCCAAAGGTACGTCATTCAAATAATTATAAGCATCTGTATTATTCTTTTTTATTTTTGCCATTGCCTTAAGGAATACATATGGAGAGTGTGCTTTTGTGGCTACCCAAAAGTAATTCTTCATTAACTCCAGGCCATTGCTACTTAAAATTGGCGTACAAGTGCCTTGCACAAACCCTCCTTGATACTTTAGGCAATTGTTCATCCAACGCAATGTCTAACCCCTAACATCATATGTAAGTGACGCAAAAACATTAAGAAAAAAATTAAAGAAAAAGTATTGATAAAAATATTATAGGTCGTTACCTTTTGTCTATCACTCATGATCACCCATGTCTTTCTAGTTTCCTCATCCGTCATTCTCTTTAAATGGTAAAAAAAGAAGGACCAATTCTCTTTAGTTTCTTTATCCACCACCGCATATGCAATGGGAAGAATCCCATTGTCACCATCTAAAGATGCAACAACCAGTAGGGTGCCCCCATATCTACCCCGCAAGTGTGTACCATCTACACCTATGAAGGGTCTACAACCATTAAGAAACCCATTATAAAGAGCGTCAAAACTAATGATAATTTTCTTGAATATAGGATTTGCAGAGGCACTTCAGGCATTCCCCATGTAATCCCACAAATTGAACGACACTCTCTATCAAGGATCATTTGTATGTAAGTGGGTAACCTAGCATAAGACTCCTGATGAGACCCATCCATCATACCCTTTAATATGCTCCTTGCTCTATATAATTGACTTTTCTTACACCTAATCTCATGTCTTTGCATAATCAATTATTTCATTCCCTTGACCGTGATCTCAGGGTTGGCCCTAAAATCATCCTTCAGACATTCAACAATCCAAGGAGCTTTTATTGTAGGGTTCTTGTCAAGCCTCACACGAGTGTGCTCAGATCGAAAGGTCTTGATTTGGAATGTAATACCATCGGCCAATAAACTTTTATATACTCTCCATGGACATGAACCCGCAATCTTGTTTCCTATTCTATTATCCTCAAGATCATAATCAGAAACAATTTTCTTACAAGTGGCCCAAAATTTGACCATAGTGCTTCTTTTTTGGTCAAGACAAAATCCCTCTTGTATTGCATAAGACTGAAGTACACTAAGAAACTTAGCCTTATTCTCAAACATTTGGCCCACTTCAAGTTTTATGGTACCGTCACCTTTCAAAGAAAACCACTTTTCATTCTTCATAAACTTAGGAATATTATTTGTTTCTCCTTCACTATCACTTACATAAGACTTCTCATCATCCCAACCATCATCACTGGTATCATTTGAATGTATATCTTCCTCATTTCCCTCATACTCGCTAGATTAAGGCTCATCCTCACACTCTGAATCCCACTCATCCTCGGTACTAACTGATGAATATCCGCCTAAATCAACCACATCGCTATGAGATCGTACAATTATACTTCCATCATCCTTAAACAACCTTTCTCCTCTCTTTTGTTTACTTAAAATATGGTGTTTATTAGGTGTATGGGTTGGTACAGGTTTTTTTTATATCAATACAATGTCTTTTTTTAGGGGCCATTTTATTTCTTTTTGGTAATTGGAAAGTTGGAGCTTCTAAGATGGGAACATGATCTTCAACTTCTAATGACATAAGCTCACTTTGAACCCTTGGGTCTCCATTACTCATAAACACATGATACCCACCACTATCAACCTCGGTATCTTTAGCAAACCATGCAAGCTCTTGTTCAGTAGGCCATAGTAGCTCTACAGGAACCTCAGGAACTTTCGCCTCATGCATAAAATCATTTTTAGGCCACTGAACCTCCTCAACAATCTTCTCATTATCCTGTTTTTTCTTCCATTCCTCATAAGCCCTTCTTGCTCCTTCAAAATATAATGAATATGACTCACTCTCCTCTATAATCAGATCAATTTCTTCTTTATTTTCACACAAGCTAAACACCATCATCAAATTTTTATCACAATCTATTGTCACATAATTGTCAGTCCCTTTTTTAAAAGTAACTTTTGGAGACTTAGGATCTTGCCAATTTGGCTAGCTGCTTGTATCTAAACATCAATAAGCAAATCCACAACTGAATATTTATCGGGATCCACTCTTTGTATGATAAAACATTTCTTGTAATAACTTAAAACTATCAAATTTGTTTACTGTACACATAAAAATATACTTTTTAAACTCACAAATTGAAGTTCCCATACAAATTCATGATATCAACACTTGTGTAATTGATAAATTATGACATATTCCACTAAAAGATACTGACCTTAAATCTACTTTATTTAATAATTTAACAAATATTACCTTCATTTGCACCGCAATTGCCAAATTGCTTGTTTGCTTGGATTGAGTTTTACGATTGCGACATTATTTTCACCGATGAATGAGACAAATTTTATTTGATTAGAGGAGATACTTAGTTTGTGATGAATTATGAAAATGGGTAAAAGTGTAGAACTGTAGAAGCTAGAGGAAAATTCTGAGAGAGATGAGGGAAATGGGTTTTGGGGGAAATTTTAGAGACCATAATATAATTATACGGCTTTAGTTTAATAAAAAATAATGATATTTTTTTATAAAAAAAAAATTAACAGAGAATGTAACACTGTTAACTATTAGGCACTAATATTGAACAATTATCTAATGACAAGACACTAAAGTGGGAATATTAGAACCATGGGTCACCAAAGTGGAATTTACTTAAATGTTAGGACACCAAAGTGTAAATTTTTCATACATTAATACTCCATCCCTTTAAAATAAAAAAACATTAATACTCCATATATTCGTGCGCATGCACGACATAAAATTAGGCCCTGTTCTTTTGAGTTGCTCTCTTCTCCGTCATGCTCTGCTCTACCCTGATATGCTCTGCTGAAATTTGCTCTGCTCTGCAGTGTGTGGAAGCCCTGCTGAAATCTGCTCTGCTTTGCTAAAATCTGCTCTGCTCTGCTAATCCTACTTTGCTCTTCCCAGAAACTCAAAAGAACAGAGCCTTAGTTTGCTAAAAAAAAAAAAAAAAAAAAAAAAAAAAAAAAAAAAAAACACCTTATTGGACCAGAGTCCTTCAAAATCAACTCAATTCATGTATATGCGCTAAGCACTTTGAGGGTGGGAAAAAAGATGAGTAGAGCTGTCTGTAAAGTTCTCCTACTCCGTTGTTATGTGAAATCATTTTTTTTTTAAACTTAGTGTATAAAAACTAATTAATCCCCAAGTGATGTTTGATTTTTCAAACCAAGAAAGATTGATTAAATATTATTTTGAAAACAATAAATCTTGTATAAAGCGGGCTATCGTTAATTTTATTGTAAGACGATTAATCTAAGGATAATTAACAATAATTTTGGTAATTTAAACCTATTTATTCTTGTATTTTGATGATCAACATTATTCAAATTTTAAATGGAGTAGTATTTTACTATTTTTGTGGGTCATACGTGCCATGATGATAAAAGTTACTCGACACCACCTATGAAACTTATGTCACTTATGTCAAGCTATTAGCAATAAACACCTTCTTTTGATCACTCTTATTGTGACGAACAAAACTAAGTAGACATATGATGGTAACGCTCTTTCTATTAATAATATCTGTTATCAACAAATTTATCTTGACATGGCTGCTAGTTTTTTGATTAATTCAAATTTCAAATGACGATTAGAGGAAATTGTTGGAACTTGTTTTGTCTAGCCGAGCTCAATTTCAGTCTAAACCTAGATTATTCTTATGAAGCCAAGCTCGAGCTTGATTTTTAAGTTCGAGTTCCAGTAATATTTTGATCAAGCCAAGACAAGCCATATTAGAATTTGGTTATACCCTAGATTAAACCAAACATAATTATAGACGAAAGACTGAACTAGGGGTGAAAGTTCGGTTTGCGGTGTGGTTTATAGCCCAAACTGAAACCAAACCATATTAATTCGATTTTGGGATTTTTGAAACTACACCGCACCATATTACTATTGAAACGAACCAAACCACACCATATAAATTTGGCAAACCGAAATTTTTTTAGCCTTGTGATTTGGGCCTTAATTTGCAACTTTTGTAGGCCTAATTACTCAAAATATGTTTTTTGGGCTTGATTATCCAAAAACAAAGCAAACTAATGTCAAATAGCAAATAATGATACTCCTTCCACCCATTATTATGTGCAACATATACTATAAATGGATGCTCTCTATTATGTGCAACAAATGTTTTTTATTCCATATTTAGTAACTTTTTTCCAATAAATTGACTACAACACCCTTATTTTAAATTGTATAACCTCAATTATATTCTTGAAACAAAATTAATTAAAAACCAATCTAATTTTCCACTCATCATCTTTATCTCCCCCAATTACTTTCTCTCTCCTCCTCCATGGTCAATTTCTTCACCTTCTTCATCTTCCTAATATCTTTCTCTCTCCTCCTTCAACCCATTCTCATAAATTGAAGAAGGAGACCACCCTTTAGTGTTCCAATTCCAGATATGAGTTCGTGGGTTTCGTGCGAACGTGGGGTCGTGGGTTTCGATTGTGGTCTGGGTTCGTGGGTTTCGTGATCGGTGGGTTTCGGTGGTCTTGGTTCATGGGCTAATGGGTTTTGGTGGTCTGGGCTCGTGGGCTAGTGGGTTTTGGTGGCCTGGGTTTGCGTAGTGGTGGGTTTCTGATGTGAATCGAGTTCCCTTTCTTATAACTAATTTTATTGCTTTATTTAGGTACTCTCTTGGTTTTACCTTACTCTTAAAGTAGGAGTTTTACAAGTGAGTTTTAATAATGTTTTTATTACTTTATTAGTAGTAGTTATGGGGCCTTAGGCTTCCAAAGTTGTGTTAATTAATTAGTGGGCTATCTTGGTTCATTAATTAATTATTTGGGCTTTTTATTTAGTTTGCTTGCAGGGCAAGTAGGTTAGATTTATTTTTCCTATATATATTGATACATGTCAACAATTATAGGAGGACGTTTATGAAATAAAGATCATATTGTTGAGTTTTAAGTCAAAGAGAACTTTGTTAAGGCTGAAACTAGTTGTTAACTAGGATTTTGGGATCGTTGCTCCTAAGATCAA